AGAGAGAGAGAGAGAGAGAGAGAGACCTACAAAGAGTCGGATATTTATTTTACACAAAAGTTACGCGAGTTTTATATTATAGTTATTTTACTTTTATATTGTGTCCACAAAATTATTGCTAAACGTTTCGAGACTATACTTACAGTAATAAAAAAATTTTGTGAACAAAAAAATAAACTTTTATTTATTTTGTAATTCTAATAGTCAGACACTATTTCTCTCTCAATGGGCTCCAGTTCCCACTTTTAGCCAATTTATATATACGACTGCGAAAAAGGTCACATGAAATCAAATTTTTTTGTGCGAGAATCAAATTCAATATAAAAAATCAATGACTCTGTGATAAAATAAATATATATTTTATCCTATTTTTCTATTTTCCACATTTAATTAAAATCATTTGACACCAGAAACCAGTCGTAAATCTAAACTTTTGATTACAGTATATAAATATTATGTGTGTGTGTGTTGCGAAAATATATTATGCTAATATATGCCACTAGTTTGCATAAATATATGTATAAAAATTTATATCATATGAAAAATTGAATCTTTAGTCTAGAAAAATAAAATTCATTTCAAAACATAACTTAAAAACTTAAAGTCGTGTGAATATCGCCGAAAAGTCATCGACTGATTCGGTGTTTTCGTTACGATATATCAGATTCTGTGTTATATTCCACACGATTCTGTGATACATTGTACGCGATTCTGTGCTATTCTATGATATTCTTTGTGTGTTTGTATTAATTCTATTCACGGGGAACAGTAGTATAGATAGATAAATATATTCTGTAACAGAATTGTAGCGCAAATCCCGGAGACTTAACTCAATAACGAAAAGAGCAAATATTGCACTTCAAGTGTTTGACTCATATTTCATGAACACTTCAATACATAATGGCTTACGATATGATAAGTAGTTTGTATGCGTTTTGTAAGATTTACTGTCAGCGCAAACACAATACCCACAAAAAATGTTAACATTACGTAAGGCAGTGGTAGCCGCCGACTGTCTGTCCCACAAATTGTATTATATTTTTTGTATTTATTTTTCGTTAAAATAAATTACAGTTTTAAAGATTTCTATCATATCTCACGACTGAGAAAATGCACTCATATTTGATAGTCTCGTGTGTAATATATGGCGAGAAATTAGAGACCGAAATAAATATCGCAATGAATTTGATTTAAAAGGTTTTTGTTGATATATTTAGACCAAAAATAACTATAAGTTTTGTGTGTGTTTTCACTGTTATTATTATTGCTGAACATTAATCTCAAAAACCTTTAACTTTTTTGTTACAAAAAATCCCAAAAAAAACGTTTAACAGAAAAAACATCAAAAATCCACTCAAACTACTCAAACATATCATCGAAAAAATATATATTCAAAAAATATGTTAAAATTCAAAACTCCATTTGATCAACTTGACTACAGTATCCCTGGTAAATGATATCTGATAACAAAATTGTGTGAACACTAAATACAAGTTTTCACACTTCTAGTACTAGTAGTTATTTTAAAGCTAGTTTGAAAAATTTTTATATCATTGCTGTAAATCATTTTAATGGTCATCTAATCGAGACATTTTCAAGCGTTACGAATGTTAAATGGACTTGCTATTTTTAGATGATGATCATCTCTCTCTCTCTCTCTCTCTCTCTCTCTCT